AAAATTAATTCTATATTTTCGTTTTTCCCCAACGTTGAGCAGTGCCCGAGTTTGAGGATTTACCAAAGAGTGGCAAAACACATGTCGGATGAGATGTGGGGATTGCCGTGGGCTGTGCAGTGGGTATTCTGATATTGTGTTCTGTGTGTTGGTGGGTAATGAAGGCAAGGCGTGGGAGACGTGAATCTGAGATTTTAAGGAAAGACTAAAGGCGTTTTTAGTTTTTTATTGATCGTACAGTAATGTGGAACAACGTTCTTGTCAAGAAGTTGATGCACATGTGCTCACTGTATTTCTGTCAATTTATGCTTTAACCTTGAATTTGGTAAGTTGGACAAATGTTTTGGCTTTATGACATACGTCTCATTGTATTGTGTTTTTCAAGTATTGAATATTATGTGTTATTACTTCTCGACGCTATTATGTGTTAAGTGCTATCATATAAATTACCGTTGTTTTTAAAAATAGATCATAATTAAAATTGTATCTATCATAATTAAAATAGCTTGACTGAGTCCTAGAATTTTTATTGTTCTTAAACTGAGACCCAATTCTTATTTGAACTATAAATTCGTAAGCGTGTACTATCTTAAAACTAGCATTTTTATTGTCCTTTAACTAGCTTCTCTGTCTATGGTGTTGGGCAGAGAGTTAGCCGGTGGGTAGGGGTTGTGGCGTCGGTGGTATGACCTTGGCTGCTGGTGGGTGCATGGACTGGAGGTTTGGGGCTATTTTGTTTCTCCTCCTCCCATGTTTCCCCATCGTCTTGGGGTTAGGCGGTGGGCTTGTCGGTGGGTGTGGGTCTGTGGCTTCGATGGCTTGTCAGCCTTTGGTTGCCGGTTGGTGTTTAGAGCTAGTCTCCAATTCTACACCGGGAGTTGTATATCTGGGAGAGGGATTGGGTCTGGAGGCTCTGGTTCGGAGCCTTGGTCCGGGTTTATGTCCGTCTTGGGTGATTGCCCTTGAGGTCAATATTGTGGCTTTGCGATGTCGTTTGTCGGCTGTGGTAGAGGGTTTTAGTTTATTTTAGAAACTTGTTAGCAAAATATATCTCGTCACCAACTATGAGAATTGGAATGGAATCAAGCATATATTTCGTTATATCAAATGGACAATCGATTTGAGATTGCTTTACTCAAATGATAAAACATGAAATTATTGGTTTTGCAGATGTATGATATTTATCAGTCGCCCACAAGACAATATCTCAAACGGGCTACGTTTTCATGATTGGTGGAACTGCGTTTTCTTGGTGTTCTAAAAAACAAGCATAGGTTGCTACATTATCAAACCATGCTGAAATAATTTCACTGTATGAAGCAGCTAGAGAAAGCATCTCGCTTATATACATGACTCAACATAACCAACAAGCCAAATAACAGAAATCCGACGGTGATATTCAGAGCAATGCAACATATGTTGCTCAAGGATACATTAAGCATAACAGAACTAAACTTGTCTTGTCAAAATTCTTCTCACACACTCAAGAGCTTGAAAGAAATAAACAAATCAAAATTTAATATATTCGATTAAGCGATAATGCAATAGACTTATTTACGAAGGCGTTTCTGCATGCAACATTTTCGAATAAACGTCAATAACTGAAAATGAGACATCTTCTAGATTTACATAGATGATAATTCGAGGACGAGCATGTGCGGTTGTACTCTTTTTTTCTTATTTGTTTTTTTTTTCACAAGGGTTTTCCAAATAAGATTTTAACGAGGCACCACAAAAGCTAATTTTTATGAATAATTTTTGTGTAGAAAAATTCATTGGATGTTTGAAAAAATGTCCCTATAAAATGGCAATTCATTGAATAAAAAATAATACGAAAGAAAGAAGAAAACTATTATATTTTATATCCGATTTTTATATTCAGTTTTTTATTCATTTCTCTTGTAACATTTTTCTTTTATTATTCACCTGTAATTTTATTTTTACGTCTAAGAAAAACAAAAAAAAAATACCCATTAAGAAAAATAAAAATACTCATCTTCAATCTTTGAAGATAACGTCATTAGCTATACTCATCAAGCGGTCCACTGACTCCGGCGAGAATTTTCTAGCGAACAAAAACGGGTCGGATCTCCTCCGCATGTGCTCGGACGAGTTTGAGCCGTCAGATTCTCTATCTCCTTCAACGGACGAGATGCCCGTAGAGGACTCGGGCCCCTCCGACACCTCATCCCCGTATCTGGGCCTCACCTCTCTGAGGCCCAATATCAGCTCCCGGCCCACCTCGCTGGCGTTGTACATCCGCGGGTGGCCCTCGTAGTCGTCGTTGCTCCAGTCCACGTGGGTGAGCGTGCAGGGCACGCACCCCGACGGATCCACAATGCTCAGCAGCGTAGGGAAATATTGTTCCTCCGGGAAGCACGCGTAGTCCCTCACGCACGGCTGCCGGAACTTCGACCACAGCCACGCGTCGCACGCCATAACCCGAGCGTGTTTCCGGTTCACGACCCAGAATTGCGACCCAAACCGGAAATCCTCCAAATCCACCTCCGGGAGCATCGCGTCCTCCCCACGCACCGCCCACCTCCAGTACGCGCTGGGCTCGTCGGGGCCCAGTATCTCCACGAAGCTGCGGCCCGATTTCAGAAGAAACCGGCGCGTGAAGCTGAAGGAATGCAGTGGGGCGCAGGAAGGGGAGAGGAGGGCGAACATGGCGTTGGACCCGTCGTCGATGAGCGCGTGGGCGAGGAGCCGCCTTGCCGCGGCGGCGAGGCTGGGGGTTTGGCGGCGCGTGGGCTTGGAGGGAATGACCCGGCCGGCGAAAACGCCGGAGAAGGGTGGCGTGTAGTGGGCGTCCGGGTCCGCATGGACGTAGATGTTGTACGAGTTGGCGGGGGCGCGGGCGAAGTACATCTCCCATAGGGGCGCGAGGGGGAGGGGGGAGATTGTGAGGAACATGAAGGCGATTTTCTTGACGGGTTTCGGGTTCGGGTCGACTTGGGAGGCGAGCTTCATCAGCGTGACGTCATCTTCATCGTCCTCGTAGACGGTTTGATTGGGGGTTATGGGTTTTGTGAGTGTGGAGGTGGAGATGAGAAAGACGGATAGGTGTAGTAGACAGAGGAGGAGAGAACAGAGGAGTAAGAAGAGAGGGGTAATAAGAGAAGGTGTGGTTTTTTGGAGAGGGTGTTTTGATGAAGTACTCCATTTTGGTTTTCTCATGTTTGAGTCCTAAAAAGGTAAAAAATGAGAGTATTTGTAAAGTGTTTGGACTTGGTGATTTCAAACTAAAATATCACTCACACACTTTCTCAAACTAGAGTAGAGGTAATTTCACAGTAAAATGATGTACTCTCAATAAGAAGCATTTAGTGTAACAAAATTCAATTTTCTACCAATTTGTGGTTTCTTTTTCATTTTTTTTTTTAAATAAATAGAGGATTAAGAAATATCTCAAAATCATTTTAGTGTACATAAAAAATAATTTTAAGTGGTGTATGTGGAAATGAATCAATTTAGTAGTTCAAAAGTTGGTCAGACTGGGTAACATACAAGTTCCGATCACGAAAAATGTGTGAAATCACATTTGGAATAATGCAACAAAAATTGGTCCCCTCGTGAATCTACGACCAAAAGAGTTGCATTCTTCGTGACGCACGTTTCGCGGCATGTGTTTCATCTGAACTCGTCTGAAAAAGCGACTTGGACTCATCAAAACTCCTAGTGAATCTTTCCAATACCCATAAATACCACCATGAATTGGTCCCGTCGTGAATTTACGACCAAAAAGTGACTTGGACTGATCAAAACTCCTAGTGAATCTTCCCAACACCCATAAATAACCCATGAGCCTTCATTTTAGATAACTTGCGAGAAATTACATTGTTTCATTATTAAGATAGTAACAAATTTTATGAAAAACATAAAATTTCTGTACAACTTGATTTATTTTGATCAAACGATATGCGGGTACAATCTCTATTTATCTCCTATGATTCTTCTCTTCATGAATTTGGGATTGAGACCTTGAAAGATGGATTTGACGATTGAATCTCCTTCGGGCTTAGTCTTGAATTTCTAACATTAATTTGGGGGTCAAATGACTTATTCCCGTATTAAATGTTAGACCTTGACTTGATTGAAGAAGCCTTCTTGGAGGACTTGATTCTTTGATTTTTTTGAAAGATGGACTTTGACTTGAATAACGTTTACTCGAGGGCTTGATAGTTTTTTCCCGGATCAAACGCTATGTTGGTTGAACTTCTCAACGAACGCGGCTTGAATGTCGCTTGAACGTCATTGATATTCTTGGATTGACTTGAGAAGCGTGAAAGTCGTCTCTTTACTTCTTGAGGAAGACCCGCCGCCTCGGTTCTTGAGAACTCTTGAATTTGAGACTTTAATATTTGAGATGTGTTTGATATTTTTGAGGTGTTTGAGGTGTTTTTTGTGGCATTGGGGAGAACCCTATTTATAGGTTTAGGAGAGAGAGTCTTGGAAAAGAAGACATCAATTTGATTGGTCCTTATTGATTTGATATAATCTCTTTCCTTATCCAAAGATTTGATATAATCTCTTTCCTTATCCTAAGATTTGATATAATCTCTTTCCTTATCCTAAGATTTGACTTGTTGGGCCAGAAATAATAACTTTATTAATTAAATATCTTATTTATCATGGATTTATGTCCCAAAATAAATAAAGAAATTAATTAATAAAATATTAAAATTTCGATGTCTACAATTACATCTCTTTTTCTTCTTAACGCTTGAGAGTTCTTTTTTTTTTTTTTTTTTTTCCAAACGATAGATAATATTCACTCAAGAAACGAGAAAGAGTTACAAACGGTGGTCCACTGACCACAATATTGCCTAGCACCATAGAAATCTAACCTGCTAAACATTAACAAAGCCATTCATGGCAAGAACAAGAAGAAATGGCCTCAAGGGCTAAGGAAGAGGCTAAACAAATAAAATCTGAGGAAGAGACATCAAAGGAGCAAGAAGTGCTTAAATCTGCTAAAATGTAAATGTTGTCTGCTATGTCATTCTTCACCCCGTTAAAAGAGTGATTGTTATTCAAATTCCTTGAGAGTTCAACCACTAGAAGATTTGTTGAAAACTATAGTATTTGA